ACCAAAGCTGAAACGGCAATCAATACATATAGGCACATACAAGGAAAATTACTAAAACTGCTTACACTATTATTTTACCCCTTCTGTAATTCTTATGACCTTGATTCCTACTGTTAATGTAGATTGCGTCTGTAACCTCCAAACGCTAAAGGAAACTGCCATATTTGCACCACAGACTGAACGACAATTGCCGACAAAACAAATGATTGTTTAATCGTACTTGAAAGCGTACTATTTGTTTAAATTGCTGGGTTAACCGAGATGTCATGACAGGATTAGAATTTTCCTCTTGGTCTCTTTAATTACGGAGACAAATACGATATAATTAAATGAACACTTTATATTTTCGTGTCTTTACATATGTAATTCCTGACAATGTTCTTCTTGACCAATTATGTAACAGTCTTTATTAGATTCAGTAGCGTCTAAAATGCATTGAACATTTGATGCTTAACATTCAGCAGATTTTTTTAAAGTGAAGAATCTGTCAAGAAATTGTCTTATAGCTTCGTATAATGCGACACTTTGGAAATTAAACAAGCAATTTGTATAAAGACTTCTTTCAAAACTTAGTATTTTTCTGTTATTTTACTTATCATATAGTTTAAAGTTTACAATGACTGTATATTTGCTGTTGTTTTCCCAGTGTTGAGATTTCATGGACGTTAAGTACAAGAACAAATAAACAATACATTCAAACTAGTTTTGTAATTTTCTATGGAAAAGGTTATAGTCAATCTTTAGCAGGCAACATTTAAAATGTTATTGATGTTGCAATTTTAAACAGAATAATCATGAAATAAATACGTAAAACGCACATGAAGAACGTCAATACTTCAAAATGAACGAATTAGACAAAAATCGTATGGAAAACCAAAACTATTACCGACTCTTAAAAAGAGTATTGATAAAGGAAAAAAGCTTTTCTGATACAGCATAATGTTTCTTTATATGCGTATTAACAGATAGCTAACCTCTTAAAATACGGCATGATTTGTTATGTTCTAAACGGATATGCGATATTGATACGTCCGTAAACTACTGTTATTTCTAGTTCACCATCATCAAAATCCTCTAAAAAATTACAATAATACAGAAAAGGTACGGAGAGCCAAAACTGTCTAAAAGTCAAGGTGGGATAGTTTCAAACTAAGTTTAAAAAAAAACACTATCACTATCAATCACGTAAACCACGTGTAAACATATAACATAAGATAATTTTGTATATTACAATTGTTAAGACGGATATCTTTCATATACTTTCTTTTGACAAGCACAATGATATTTCGATGGGTCATTTTGAATGGATATATGTTTTCTTTGGATGTAAAGGAGCAATTAACCTCCAGGAATCGTCTTATACAAAAAAGAGTCACTTTAATGATTTTGTTCTGGGCAAATATGAAAGTATACAGACATCTAGGGATATACTTATCCACCAAATTAGGACTCTTGATAAATCATTCGTACCATCATTAACAAAGGACACTGCATAATACTTTTTTATATCAATATCAGTGACGTCTCAAGAGCTATGCTTTAGTAAATTACGTAAAAACAACACTTTAAAACTTGTATTCGAGGGAATGATTAAACTTTTTACAACACCAATAAGCCACCACTTCCTTGTGTTAAATAACTCGATGACTTATAAAATATACTCTTACATATGATGAAAGAAGATGTAGGACAAGTAGCTTCAATAAAACCATAACCGAAGAAAAAAAAAATGATGAATAAAGACATCCCAAAGGTCAGCAGACAGTAATCAGTTAGTCGAGTGTCCTAACAATGTATTCGCGCACAGTATTTCGAACTCAACAGTGACTACAGAACATGTAGTCCTTAATAAACAAAAACACCAAGAAAGAACGACATTAACCGCTGTATGTCATCTCCTAGGCGTATTTACCTTGAGATATGTGATTGCATTTTTCAGAAGACAGTGTCGTCTCTTTTAAATTCTCTCTTTAGTTGGGAAGAACTGTTTCGAAGATTGATATTAAGGTTGAATGTTTGATTATACATATATAATAAATATAAATAACATGTTATGATTGTTGTGCATTCATGCGCTTTTCTGGAAATACCTGCACAGGAGCGCTAAAACACAAAAAATTGGAAGCAAAGAATGCATTAAATGGGCATTTAAAAAGTCGGAATGCGAATACATATGTTCAAACTCTTTTAGGTCATTTTTTAGTAGCAACAAACAAAAGAACTATGTCAATTGGACATACTTTGATACTATATCTGCCCTTGAATTTTTACTTGATAACATTTTTGTTCGCTTTGGAGATTCCGTATATCGTCAAGTTATCGGAATTCCAATGGGGACTAACTGTGCACCACTTATTGCGGACCTGTTTTTGTATTGCTATGAGTTACAATTTATGACTAAAATCAGCAAAGACCCATCGAAACAACATCTGATACAAAAATTTAACAATACTTTTAGATATTTGGATGATATATTGGCTCTCAATAATGACGACTTCAGTATATATACTAAAGAAATTTATCCTGTTGAACTTACTTTAAATAAAGCTAATACTAACAATGAACACTGTCCTTTCCTCGATCTTGATATCTATATCATTAACGGGAAGCTTAATACAAAAATTTATGATAAAAGAGATGATTTTTCATTTCCTATCGTTAATTATCCATTTTTAGATGGTGACGTTCCCTTGTCACCATTAATGGTGTTTATATATCTCAACTTGTACAATTCGCTCGTGTATGTAACAACGTATTAGATTTTAGCGAGAGAAATTTATGTATTACTGAAAAATTGTTACACCAGGGTTTTCGATATCATAAACTAGTCAAAACATTTACTAAATTTTATCATCGGTATAAGCACATCATTCGTAAATATAACTCAACATGCAGACATCTTATACGTTCGGGTATTTCACATCCAATCTTTTATGGTAATATTCTTTACAAAGCACAAAAATGTCAGTATTCACCTCAAAGGCTAACAAAACCTTTAAACAGACTTATTAAGAAGGGATATAGTTACGATACTGTTGTCAGGTCATTAAAGATTGCATATTTTGGCTTTAATATTGATTCACTTATAGGGTCTTTGCATCGGAATTAAACACATTTATTCTAAAAAACAGTTGTTGGCATGACACGGGTTATGTTCTTCTCATATATTTTATGATGGTATAATACTAAACCCCTAACAGGAGGAATTGTGCCTGATATTCATATGATGAAGACATAATCTTTCAATCAGTTTAATTGAGGTCTGGAGCTGGCATGTCAGTAACTGCTAGTAGTCTGTTGTTATTTATGTATTATTGTCATTTTGCTTATTTTCTTTTGTTTTCCTTTTCTGACATCGGACTCGGACTTCTCTTGAACTGAGTTTTACTGTGCGTACTATTGTGCGTTTGTTTTTTTCTATATTGGCTAGATGTATAGGGGGAGGGTTGAGATCTCAAAAAACATGTTTAACCCCGCCGCATTTTTGCGCCTGTCCCAAGTCAGGAGCCTCTGGCCTTTGTTAGTCTTGTATCATTTTTAATTTTAGTTTCTTGTGTATAATTTGGAGTTTAGTATGACGTCCATTATCACTGAACTAGTATACATATTTGTTTAGGGGCCAGCTGAAGGACGCCTCCGGGTGCGGGAGTTTCTCGCTGCATTGAAGACCCATTGGTGGCCTTCGGCTGTTGTCTGCTCTATGGTCGGGTTGTTGTCTCTTTGACACATTCCCCATTTCCATTCCCAATTTTATTTAATAATAATAATATCTTTGGGATGATAAGTGTCCACATTACTATTTAAGAATAACAAGTTACAGATAGTTATATATATTCCACTTGAGTACACAAAATATTCACGTTAATTGTTGATATTTAAACGTTCCCTCTTAAAGTATTAGAGAATTTATAAAGCATCTTTCTCGAAAAGAAACAAACAAAGGTATCAAATAACGATTAATAGTATTTACAACACCGAATTAATGAATTATATCTTTCAACAAGTATTTTCTCATTAAAATATCAATACTAGTACACGTTAACAGTATCCTGTTTCTTCCGGTCGGACAATGGCTTTATTGTGTCAATTAATGGCAGTCTACGTTTTCACCTACGTTTGTCCGCTTTGATAAAACAAAATACGATAAAAGTCTACATTTTGATTTGTCAATACTAAACCAGCGTGATGGAGGCGACGTCGAAAGAAAAAATGACAGCTTTGATTCCATATCAAACGACAGTCTTTATGTTTTCACCTACGTTTGCCCGCTTAATAAAACAAAAACAAAAATAGTCAACATTTTGATAAGTCAATACTAAAATAGCGTGATGGAGGCGACGCCGAAAGCCTATAACAATGATAGTTTTGATTCCATGTCAAACGTGTACTGACATCCATCGATATTTTGAACTTTTGTTTCAAAGAGCATAAGATGTCTCATTACAGGCTAATGTCTGTAAACGATTCTACTTCGTGAATCTAAGGAAACAATTACATCATTTTCAAACAATAAAAGAAGACAAAGACATATGCAGCGTAGTTACTTGTGACCGACCAACGACTTGTGTTTCTCAGTAATAATTCATCAAGCTAATAATATTTAGCAATAACAAGTTAAATGATGACCAAATGACTACACAAGTCAAATCAGGACTACTTAAATATTGACAATCTGATTAACTTGGATCAATTATAATATAGCAATTATTACAAGGGATTACCATTGCTTTCGAATATAAGGTTGGTGACAATCATAACTGTAAGAATCGTCAATATTAAATATTATATGTAATTTGGGGTTTATATTTTCTTCAAGTGTTGACAGTTTCGCTGATCGATTCCTGTCAGAGAATTATTGATACGAAATATAATTGTATTCTTCACATACCATGCTTGTTCATTATGTTGATAATTGGCTGCTGGTTTCTGATTGGGTGTTTCCTATGAAGTAATTCACGCTGTCAATCTCCTTTATAATTCCAACTTAAATTATTTGTTACAGAACGTCGGACGCATCTGAGGTCCAATTTCAGGAGCACCTATATCGGTATGATACCACACTGAGCAACGCAAAAATAAAGGTAAATAATTTTGCTCATTTCTTCTTATTTTTATCATTTCGAAAGAAATTTTGCTAATTTGAAATGACTGTGAGAACTCTTGTGATGTAGCATGGCATGTTTTATTATTCTCGATCACGCTAACTCAATCATCTTTTTTTCTCTTGAGAAAACTAACATTAGTTCATCTTACAAATAATGCTTCATAAATTTTCCAAACAGTTCTTGTCCTGATCGCTTTATTTCGTTCTGTTCTTTGAGGACAATCTGTAACATAGTATTACATTTTAAACATTAACTATTGAAAAAAAAAACATACACAAATAACGCTTTTCACAAAAAAATCTTTAAAAAAGTCTAACCTGAAATGTTTATGACTTAACAGAATTTTTCTTGTAAGATTTTTGTTAAAACAGTTGTAGTACTATAAAGGATATTTAAAATATGTTTACTCTAATTAGAAAAAAAAAACATTTATCGTATTTGTACCTTTTTCAAAAATAAATCATGCATTAAAATCCCAGAGTTCATCCATACAGTTTGAAGTTGTGGTGCCTACAGAAAAAGAAATACCAAACACCATTATTCTAATAATGTACACATTTGTTATTTTTTTCTATTGAATAAAAATTATGTGCAAGATATAAGACGAATGATCTCCCCTGACGTAAACTTTATTGAGCGTTCTATAGAAAAATTAAAACACCGATGTAAAGTATGGAACATAATACTTTATGTCTCTTATATTCTTAAGCAACACTAATATTCTAGATCTACTTGGTTATGAAGCTTTACGTCCATTGTATGGTTCTATTACACCTTTTCGGTTTTTAGGAGTCTCTTGACTATCTTGGATTTCTCTGTTGTTTTATTTTTGTTATAGAATCTTTTGGACCATTTTTTTTTCTGCTTGAGTGTATCTTAGAATGTATTTTGTTGTTGTGAAAAACATCTTTTGTGCTGTTTTTTTGCAATGTTATCCAATGTGGGTCTGTATCATAACATTTTTAATGATAACATTCCCCTTTTTCTATCCCCATTTAAATCAAACGATGTAAGTGTAATATGCGCATATCCGGTGCATATTATGGAAACACTGATTACAGATTTATTACTCTATTTTGTTATTTTATATTAACAATTAAACCACTAATCTACTACTAACTGCAACTTGATGAAATTTTGATGCAAATGTAGAAAAACAATATTCATAATGCAAGTTTCTGATTGAAATATGATACTTTTAAACGTTCAGCTTTGAGTGACATATAATGATCTGTTTTTCATTTGTAATGTGAGTGTTCCATTTAGAACGTTTTCTGTTTTCCCATCATTTCTGTTAAATTGTCGCTCGCTTTATATCTATTGGTTTCATATTTCATTTTGTGTATATACTTGAAGACTTTTTTTAACCCACTTGATTTTTAATACTTTATGTATCTGTCTTCTCTTAAACATTGGGACTTGGGCCTCAGGACTATCCTTTGAATGTTTATGCAGAAGCACATTGGACTCTATATTATGTTTTCATGTAACTTGCATGGTCACTACGGATCAGTTGACTTCCTTTTGTTTGTCCGTTTACTATAATCTTAAAAAGCTTCATCTGAAACCACTTGGTCAACAGGATGAAAATATGGCCTCAATCATTTCTAAGATATCCAATCCACTTTTTCGTAAGCTAAGAAGCATCTTGTGAAATAACACAAAAGGTACTTATGTTATAATAACGGTGCAGATTACGTGCGAGTTTAACTTTGGTTGAACTACCTTTCACCAAATTACATTCTATTCGACTGTCATACAAGTGAGAGGTTAAGCTAGCTATAAAACTAGGTTTAATCCACCATTTTCTACATAAGGAAATGCCTGTACCAAGTCAGGAATATGACATTTGTTTTCCATTCGTTTGATGTGTTAATTTGAGCTTTTGATTTTGCCGTTTCATAAAGGAATTTCCGTTTTGAATTTCCCTTGGAGTTCGGTATTTTACTTTTTACAACCCTTGGATTACAACATTTTTTTCTCTTTCGTTGTTATTCAGATTGCATTCTATATCTGAAATCACCGTTTCTGAAACTAAAGGACTTGCGGTACATTTCTTGTTCGTACCCCAAAATGAAAGTAACGTCATGTCATTGGTCCATGTTGAGGATATTTTAACCAATGTCATAGTTTTGCTATCATATACGCTTTTCATAATATTACACAAAATGCATTAGATTCTGAAACGGCGAATTTGCAAACAACAGTTAGTGGATACCGAACAAACTATGTTGAAATAGAAATCTAGTGGACCGCACACGAAAGAGTCGATACCCAACAAACTGTGATAAAAATGGAAATCTAGTGGACGGTACACGAAAGAGTCGATACCGAACAACCTATGTAAAAAATGAAAATCTAGTGGACCGTAAAGGAAAGAGTCGATACCGAACAAGCTATGTTAACAATGGAAATCTAGTGGACGGATTCTTCTTAACTACATTGCCAGCTAATTTTACAAAAAAAAAAATATTCCAATATTTCAGAAATCCTCTTTCGATTAATATATGGTGTTATTGCAGAAGTAGTACATTTATCATCATAAGTCCTGATTTAGTAAATAAACTCGCAAAATATATACTTATCAGACATGCAAGTAAAATAAAATATAACGGTTTAGTGTTTGGTATTCCGATGCAGACTAACTGTACCCCTTTTATCGCCGATTTGTTTTGACACTGTTATAAATTACAGTTTGTAGCTTATCAACATAACGAAACACGACAGATATTTTCTGAATTACCTGCAGATATTCAGACGACACCTTATTTATTAATAATTCATATTTTTATTTTTTTTTTTATTGTTTTGCTTGCGCCTATGTTTATTGCGTTGTATGTTTTTATCGATATGATAGAGCAATGTGTGTATACTTGTTTTATTTATCATTTTGTTTTTTCAACTAATCTTGATTAAATAAGGGAATATTGAGATCAAGGGGATATTTATATTTAGATCCCCTTTTCATCGTTTTCGCCTGGTTTGTACTTAAATGAGGAACACGACGGGTGCCACATGTGGAACAGGATTTGCTTGCCCTACCGGAGCACCCGAGATCACCCCGGTTTTTGGTGGGGCTTGCCTTTTTTTCTTTTTGGTCATGGCATTGTCAGTTCTTTTTCGACTTGTGAGTTTTAGAGCTTGACATACTGTATTGTCACTATTATTTTATTGAAGATAGTTTGTTCACCCCTTGATGTATACTGTTTTCGGTCGTTGGGATGCTTTTTCATTGACGTTTTCCGCACACCTCCTTTGATTCATATATCTAGCAGGTAAAGATATGTTTTTTTTGCATGTAATTTTAATAATTACAAAATATACTGTAAGTTCTATTGTTGGTATGATTGACAATGAGACAAAAATTCATCACTTATGTCGCTTTTACTTCTTTTCAACGTTTTGTTCTTTTTAGTATCATAAGTGTAGAAATTGAATTTGGATCATAAATAGTGACAAATATAACACATAAACATGTTACTTTTTTGTTTATAGATGTACCGGTGTTCCTTATACGATTGGATATGAACACAAACCCCTATCCATTTAAAAAAAATAGGTTAGAAGGGGTAGTGCTCAAGTACTGTGTATGGCTGCAAATGTTAAATCAATTTCATTGCTAAATGTTTAATTTTTAGATATATTAACAAACTAACAAGGTTTGTCTAGATGCACCATTTTACCAAAATGGGGTTATGCGATGGGGGTTACTGCATTTCTAAAACCTAAATGGTTGCAAATACAATGTGATTAGATTTTCTTGGTGGTTTTATTTGGGGAGAATTTCATTCGAATCATTCTTTCAAATATCAACGTTAGCTCTTTCTAAAATATATGAATAAAAGACGATGTAGGGTATAAGTCCGTAGGACAGCAACCCAAACGTCTCAAAAACTCAAAGGCGTTTTTTTGTTTGTTTATTTTGAGTAAGGTTGCATGGATCATGTAAATCATAATTGATAGTTTCTACATGACATAACCGAAATTAAGCTATTATCTCTCGAGGTATTTCTTATTCGCTGTATTCATCTTTTTGTGTCATCGTCTGAATGTTCAGTAGTATTTCATCATATAATAAGTAGAGGTAAACAGTAACGAGTACCGCTAACTTAAACTGGTGCTAGTGGTCATCTTGAACTTACAAGGAGGTGATTGTTTTTGCTATATTTTGAAGTCCTCAATGTCACCTTGATATGCAGAACAGCAGTAACTGCAATGTTTACTTTTCTTATGATTTTTGTTCATGTGCGCGCAGTCGCATACACCAAATACTCTCTTTTCCATTACCTAACGTTACTCGCTTCATTTGATTTTTTTTTGTGTTTACTATCTTATTAATATATGTTTGCAAGATTCACAATTAAGAACATAGTCGGATACATCTTGTCTGTACTATTTAATTCTTACATGAATCTCGCTTTCTCAATTCATTGACCTCAATACTTAGTCATAATATATAAACACATAAAACCACTTTCAAATCAGTGAAGCAAGTGCCAAAATGTTCAACTATCATTCTGCATAATTTATCGTCACAGTTTATCTCTTGTTTCCAATTTCATATCGGACTTCTCACTGAATTTAAATATCTGGTATTGAGTTTGGAGCCACGAGTTCCTGTTTTTAATAGTCTGTGCAGTACAGTCGTTGTATCGGTAGAACTTGTCTTAATTCACATTTAACACGTATTCCCCATTAAGATTAATTAATGTACCATTTTTTGATCGGAAGGGGCCGAACATAATATATATTATCCCTTCCCTTGGTTCTATATACATGTAGTAGCATATATAGTCAAACATCATTGTAATCTAAATTTTGTTTTAAACTCATTTTCTCATATCTTTGATATTTTGTTACATCAAGTTTGTTTTGTGTAAATGTATAATTAATCAAAATGAATGATTTTGATAAATTTCAAATGTAACGCTATGGCATCGTTATACAGTTAAAGCAAGAATAAAGGTCTATAACGT